CCAGGACCCAGGGTTGGCCACACAACCAGGCTGTGCCCCTTCCTACCATCTGCCCAGCTCTCAGCATCACCCATGGACGGCAAAAACCACACATGTGGCCCCTCTGTCCTTCTCAAAAGGCTGGATGGAGCATCTCTGTGGGAGCTTGTCCCAGGCTCGGTGCCGGGCACGCAGCAGGTAGGCATCCCTGGAAGATGTCACTACTGAAGGTGAAACCCAAACCTTCCAGACAGCTGGCTACGTGTTAGAAATTCCAGCCAGGCAACATGCTCCTCACAGATGCTCGTTTAACAACCCCCCACCATTACTTACCCAAATACAGGTTGGTGAGAACAAGCCTACTGCTATGGCAGTCTGCTCCCAATCAGAAGATTCGAAGGCAGCAGCAGTTTTTAAGAGGTTCTCTCTCGTGTTTCTGCACCTTTAGCAAGCCCATTCCTACAGGTTCCTCCCCCTAAGGGAACTACACACAGCTTGGAGGCAGAGTCCTGATTTTCTGGAACAATTTCTCTATCAAATTAGGCCTTTCAACAGAATCATGGGTGGAAATGCAGCTCTGGAGCATCCGTCCTTCCACCAGCACAAAGTTGTTACCCACAAGCCATGATGCACATTGTTAAGTCCATTTTTAAAAGGATTAAGCAACAAGATTACCGCTGCTCTGCCACCCAGGAGGTGGTCTCCATGGGCAGAGGGACCTCACTGCAGGGACACCAAGTCACCCACCACAGGCAAATATTTCCTAGAGTTCAGATTTGGTGTTTCTGGGCATTGCTCTGGCAGGTCCCCAGTGGGCATCAGGTACCACAGCCACCATCAGCTCCGGTGGTCCCTGATCACACACCAAATGCCATGATGACCTTTGACATCTGCAGGATCTATATCTGCATCTCTGCTGCTGCAGGAAGCATCTACCCAAAACAACCGCAAATCCAATTAACAGATTAATCCCTCTGCCCCAAGGATTCAGAGCAGCATAAAGCCTCCAAACCACGCCAAGAGCAGGGCCAGACCCAGGAGCTGCAGTGAAGACAAGAGTCTGAACTTGCCCAGGCAGCCACGGACATCCCACCAGCCTGGGCTGCTCCTCACCAGGAGCTGACCCATTGATGGTCCCACCAGGGCACAGGCTGGTGGCACCTCAGTTCTACAGCAGCATCACAGACAGGACCAGGCTCCGTGCCCAGAGGAGATGGCTCTACCCACATCCCTCCACGATGCTCACCAGCGTTTCTAAAAGCTGTTTGAGAGCTGTCTTGAAGCCCAGCATCCTCCACTGACACCAAAAGGGCTCCCCAGCAGAGGGCTGGGCCATGAAGGTGCCACCAGCCCCGATTTTATCATGCAAATTGTGTACCAGAAGAAAGCCATTATCTACCAGAGGCTCATTTCAGCTCAACAATGGAAGACTAATCACTGCATGCCTTGCCCTTTCATAGCACCAGGCTTCAGTCAGAGCAGCATTCAGTAATCCAAGAGGACCTTCCAGAAAAACCAACCCCAGAACGAAACCCACCTCTAGCCCTGGAGGAGTTTCCTGCAGGTGCTGCTCAGCCCCAGTGTCCCACACTCTCCCAGCCTGCTGGAAACTGTCCTTGGCTCCACTCACCAGGAAAGTACATCTTTTGGGAATGAAAAACCCTTTCCCATGACTTTGCCATGGTCTAGTTTTAAAGGAGGACAAAAGAAACATGTTGAGTTAGCATCCAAGGCACCTAAGCAGGAGCCAACCAAGGGCCAAAGTCACCCAAGCACTTGCACACGTGAGACTGGAGCTCCTCGGAAGGGTCTACAAAGTGTTCTCAGATCCAGCCCAGAGCAAACCTTCACTGAGCAGACACACAGCGTTCATGCTCTTCACACCAGCTTTGCAGCTTCCCCAAAGCCCCCGCAGCAACCACTGGAGATGTGAGGAACAGCATCAGGAGCCCCTCTTAGAGGAACCATGGGGATGGGTCGAGTCTTCCAAGGACCAGAGATGGGGCAGCAGCACAGGGCAGGGAGGGGAGCAGCTTTCCTGAGGCCCCCCACAGCGATCCAGCTCCTGGGAACACCACGGGAGTGGGGTTCAGACAGACGGACACCCCTGCCCAGACGCTTGCACCTGAACACTCCAGCCGCAGAGCCGATTACAGCTCAAGCACCTCATTATTGCCAGGTTTTCCCTCACCCCCCAGGATTATCCTGTCTACACACAGCTGCTAAAATCTGATGGAGAATTTACAAAAAAAAAAAAAAAAAAAAAAAAAGAAGTGCTAAGCAGCTGGTGAGCAGAGACCCAGGCTCAGGGGTAGCATTGTTGGGCTGCTGACTCCTTCCAGCAAGAGAAAGGAGCAACATCACCACCATCACAGGAACATGGTTTTAAAAAACTCCAGGCCACCCAGCCAGGGACTGGCCACCAAGGGGCAGTTTTCCAGTGCCCACCATAATCAAAGAGCAACTCCTTGGAGCTACAGGTAACACAGGAGAGGTGATGACATGAGAACATGTCTGGGTTTCAGCACCGATGGCAAGAGTCACAGCAGCTCTCCCAGCACAGGGCAGCTCTGAGTGTCCACCCAGCTCCTGGAGCTCCTGGTCCCTGTCACCCAGGGGGTCCTAAGTCCCCACAGCCACCCCAGCACAGGAAACATCACTGCAGTACAGCTGGGGACAGATGTGGCCACCTTCATCACCTCTTAAATAGGGGGACTTCTGTGTATTTCGATGTTCTTTTGACCCCTCCTGCCCCAGAAATGGCATCAGAAAAGTATCCATGGTCAGAAAAGAAAGGGTTAAGGAGGGGGAAAAAAAAAAAAAGACCTCAGATTCTTTTCTGTGGAGGCTGGAAACAGATGCAGCTGCAGTGCCAGCTGGAGCATCCCAGATCCTGCCTGACCTCAGGGAGCAGCTTTCCCTGTCCCGTGGCTCAAGGAGGAGACCAGTGGTGGGGGCACAACGTCAACGCAAGACAGTTATGGACATTCCCATTTGCTGCTGCCTCTAGGAAGGAATGAAATAACCCAGAGGCAGCGCTCCTTTCCGGCACTATCAGCAATCACGGCACAGGGGCCGATAAGGTAAAGGTGTTCCCAGGAACAGCCGTACCTTTGGCGAGCTCAGCCCCCACCTAAAATATTTTTCAGCCCCTGTTTACACACCCCGCAGGGAGGGGGTTGTGTCCCCGGCTCTTATCGGCTCCAGCAAACTGCAGCCAGAAATTTTATCTTAACTTTCTTCTGCAGGGAGCAGCTGCCACAATAAATATCAGCAAGATCAACAAAGCCAGAGGTCTGGGGAGCAGCTGCCCATCACGGCTCTGGTCCGAGCAGGAGCTGCCAGGGTTTTCTCCTTCAAACCCCCTCACACACTGTGGTGAAGGTGTAGAAACTTGGATATATGTTAAACAAACCCCAAATACTCCAGCCACGCACTGAGTGCCCACGGGGAGGGCAGAAAGGACGTCTGCTGACACACCACCATCCTTCTGCGAGGAAGCAGGACCACCAGAAGACACCAAAGCCAGTTTTTAAGTGGGAGCAAAGCCTTGGAAGTACAAGGCAGGGTTTGTGATCCCCAAGCTCCTGCCCTCGCACGGCAGAGCTGCCTCTGATAAGGGTTTCCTGACCTCTCACTGCCAGGACAGAGATGCTGCATCTTTCCCCCCACCCCAGAGAGCCAGAAGAGGCAGCCCCTGCAACCTCAGTCCCTGCATCCCTCGCACACACAGCTCTTCTGTTTTATTTATTAAACAGAAACAGATTGCTATAGGCAGCTTTAATCCGAGTGATAAAATCGGTTTCCATAGCCACTTACTGCTTCCCCATGAAAATTCAGAGGCAGGCAGGGAGCTGTGCAGGGCTGAGCTGCAGCCACCGGGGCGAGCGGTGCCCAAAACAGGGAAACTGGAGCCTGGCCCCTCCGAGGGGCTGCCCACCAACTGCTTCATCAGCCTTTAGAGTCATTTCAGCTCAGCCACTTCTCCCTTAATTGACCTCCTCGGAGAGATGGCATTAATGAGGACGGTTTCCCTTCCTAGCACAGCAATCTGCTGAGCCAGACCCACAGGAGGGACCAGGAGGAGGAGGAGAAGTTCACCTGGGACTGCAAAGGCAAGGAGACCAAACCCCACCTCAGCCCCACCAGAGGCTGCAGCATCCCTGGGGGGAGCCGGAAGAGGAGCCACCTCTGATCCCTTCTGCACAGGGAAACAGCAGGGAGGGGGGAAAAGCTTGGGGGGAGAGCACAGGAGCCTCATCCAAGCGATGGGCAGACTGGAAAGAGCTTCCAAATGATTTACCAGAGGAACAAATGTAGGAAAGGGAAAGGAGGCATTGAGCATCACAGCTGCAGCTTCCAAATGATTTACCAGGGGAATAAATGTAGGAAAGGGAAAGGAGGCATTGAGCATCACAGCTGTCATCACACCCACGGTGCTGAGACACGGCACAGGGCTCAGGGGGCAACCACAGCCTGCTCTGGGCAACTGCCATCGGGAGGAAACATGCTCCAGCACCACTGACCTGCTGGTCCCCAGCATCATCCCCTCATCCCTGCCTCATCCCCTTCACCAGAGGATGAGGGTGGGCAGCGCTGTCCCAGCTCCCAGAGCAGAACCTGCTGCTTTTGATTCCTGGCATTGCCAGGGAGCCAGTCCTGTGGCCACTGGCCACCAGCTCCTGCTGCCACCAGCATCAGCCCAGCAGCATCTCCTTTGCAAGCCAGCTCCTCCACCAGAGCTCCTCCTTTGCAAAGCGAGACGAAACCACCGCTCTCCACAAACGCTTCCTCTTCGCAAACACCACCAGCTGACAGTGCCCCAAAATCCGGACACTAAGAATAGCAGGCTTTTTTTTTTTAAGCTACATTAACAGTAAACACTTTTACCATTGGCATGAAGCAGGATCAGCTCCATATTAAGCTTATCCCCATCAACAGCAAAAAAAATCCGGTTTCATTCCTCTGCCTGGAGCCCGCTCTGGACTGTGACTCCATTTAGCAGTAAATTGGTGACTTACCCAATTCTTTCGATCCTTGGCTTTCGCTGGCCAACTCTCCCATCTTAACCAGAGCATCAAAGTATCCTTTTGCTGCGTATGTCATACCTATGAGCATAAAAAAAATGCAGGTTATATTCTGTTTAAAGGCTATAAAAACTTCTATGGCACTGGATAGATGCTAGACACTAAAATAGACAATACTTCAAAGGGCTTAACCCCACGGGGAGGGAATAGACAACAAACAGAAGGAAAAAAAAAAATGAGTGAAGAAAAAAAAAGCTCAAGCAGCAAGATTACAGGGCTATTTAGGAGGGAAAAAAAGGTACGTGTAGGACCTAGGTGGTTTTCATTCCAGTGTAACCATCAGCCTGCTTAATGCTGCTCAGACAAAAAAAAAATCACTGTGGAATAATTGAATATCACAGACTTTCATTATAGTTCAGTCTTGTTTGTTGACATTCCAGCTACACACTCCACTTTAATCAGATAAGCAGGGGGTTTCCTCTAATCACGAGAACATGTTGTACGGCTTCAGCTCAACACCGTCAAATTATGTGCTGAAGCCTCTTCCAGCATGATTTACTCATTAAGAGACTTCCTTCAGATGCCCTCGCAAGCTCCGAGATCCACAGTAAGGGATGACCAAAGACAATTTTCAAAAATTACAGGAAGATCTTGAGCTTCAAAGCGCATTCACAGCAGGGATGTGAGAAAAATAGAAATCAAGCCATCGTGCTGGTTTATCCACAAAACGCTGCCGTTACTGTGCCCGTGATAAAGCAGCACATCACAGACTCCACCACCCGGGTAATTAAAAGCTGCATTATCAGTGTAACATTTGAGAAGAACAAATAAAAAAAAGGACAGTCCCAAGGGCAACCTCTTCTCCCCCGTCAGACCCTGCCTTCTCCTTCCTCCCCTCCTGCAAGAGCCCACCCCAATCAGGAACCCTGCTTCGTTAGCATCATTAGCAATAGCTGGGAAATGCTGATGAGGGTGGATGAAGTGCCCCATCCCTGGGGGAGCAGAGTCCACAGCCCCTGGGCAGTGGACCGGGATGGACGGGCACGTCCCACGTTACAGCCAGTTGATCCATTAAAACCTGGTTAAAAACAGTGCCGAGAACTGGCCCGACAGGAGGGAGCAGGGGAGCGCAGGTCTGTGGCTCAAAAACCCTTCCCTGAAACATCCAGGAACCTCATTTGACTTGTGGGAAATAAAATTTGCCCCGGGCACAAAGCAAGAAGGCACAGATCCTTCCCAAAGGGTGAATTTCAAACACCGCCGTTTAAGAACAGGAGACACCAAAATACTTTTTTTTTTTCCTCCACTGGTTTAAGATGATGACAGCCTCTTCCCTTACACTTTCATGGAGCCAATTAAAAAAAAACACGAAAGCCAAGAGAGACGTGCAGCACGGCTGCGCAGCGAGCAGAGCCCTCCCTCTCCGGGGTGGAGGAGAGCCTGCCTTCAGCCTCCTCAAAACCCAGCCGAGGAGGGCCCAGGCACTTTGTGAAGTCATTTTAAGTCAAAATAGTCCATTTTTGGTTTTTGTCAATTCATATTTTACTTTTGAGCATTTAAATCTACACCTCCCTGATGGCTCTCAATAAGACACTCTATTCCCAACCATAGAGTTGCCACCAATATTTTTAGGTTTCTTCCTTCTCTCCCAATCCATTCTTCTAGGCAATTTTAACATTTCGGTAACACACCTTTATATATAACTTAAAATCTTAATTCTGAATATTTTAAACTAACATTTAAAGATCAATTGACTGAGGAGATGTTACCCAGTTGCCACCCAACACTTTCACACTGTGCATTTTTGCAAAGCTTTGCAATGAGGTCCAAGAACCATCTCCCCAGTTTCCTCCCCTCACTCTCCCAGGGAAAAGGAGCACCCCAAGCTGATTTTCCAGCTTCCCTCCCTTCCGAGGTCATCCTGTCCCGTGGGACCCTCACCAGCCTGGCAGCCCCCAGCATCTCAATAATAAACACATCACTTTCACTTACTTGCTAAGGCTTTTTCATAGGTCTTCCCCATAGAAATGAAATTCCTGAGGCTGGGATTGAACTGCTCCATGATCGTCTAGAGGAAAGAGAAGAACATTGCCAAGGGTTAGAGCTGGTGGGGAACTGGACAGAGCAGCTCCACACTCCCCAGGGCAGCCACGCTGAACTCCATGCTCATAAATGCAATAATGGAATAAAAATAAGTCCTCCCACACCTCTCACCACTCAACCCAGGCTTCCCCACGACTGCAAGCAGATGCTGGTTTAAGAAGAAGTCTTAAGTATATCTGTGTCTTGCAAATAATACACAAAAGCATTGGTCCTACTGGCCTGGAAGGGCAAATGTTCTTCTCATTTTGGGTAAGTCAGAAGTAGGGGATGGGGTCAGGGCAGAAGCAGCCCAGCACTAAACCAAACATGATAAGAGCTGTTGAACACAGACAGGAATCAGCTGAATGCAACAACCTGTGCTGCCACATCACACCATGTCTCCTCCAGCCCTTCGCAAGAGCCTCGGAGGCACCTTCACCTCTCACCAAGGAGAACCACTCCAGAGGACCATCCAGCTCTGGTGAGGGACAATGGGGCTGCCCTGACACCAGAGGAGAGCAGAACCTGCACACAACAGAGAGGGGAGATGCCCCAGATCCTCCCTTCATCCCACCGCTACACCGAGGAAGACCAAACTTGGGTTTTGAAGGCCATGAGGCAGAGGTTCAATGACAAAGTGGCTCTGCAGTGCCTCAGCAAGAGACACTTTGTGCAGGTGCTTCACCATAAGGGATAAGGGAACGTCCCAAACCAGAAAGGTATCAGATATAGCAAACATAACCACCATAATAACCATAAGTGGCTGTTTGAACCAACAGGCAACGGTCCTCAGACCAACCATGGAGTTGACCTGAGCTCTGGGAGATGATGTCCCGCTCCTGGGATGACCTCAGAGAGCAGCATCAGCTTGATCCATGGACAACAATGGACAAGCAGAAATGGTCGAGGAGCAGAATTCAAAATAACCACCAGAGAGCCAGAGCCAGAACAAAGCCACCATTGCCCCCACCGAGCTGGCGCCAGCCACGGCTGAAGCTACGTGTGAGGAATTTACACCTCGGTCTCCAAGCCCTGGGTGTCACTTTCCACCTGCCCATGAAGGCATACATTAGGGTGTTGGTGAACACCAGAAGTGCTGTCTGACAGCTTTTCCTCCCTCGCTTTAAGGTCCTTATTTAAACATAGCAGTGGGGGGGGAGGAGGAAAGGAATAATCGGATCACAAAGAAGAAGGGCTCTTTGTACGTTTGGCACCGCAGCTCCTGACCCTCCCCTGCCAGAGCTATTCAATCCCCAGCGCTGATAGCATCTCTAAAACCAGACACCCAGCCCAGCCCTGGAAGAGACAACAAAAATCTCCATTCTCTCCCTGAAAATCCCACCTCTGGACCAAGCCCGGCCACAGCTGAGCAGCCCCGGAGCTGGTCCCACCTCAGGGACAGCCCCCAACCAAGGGTACCACCAGGAAATTAAGTGTAATGCCTAAAATGTCCCCACACACCCCAAGAAGGGATGTGGGGGTGTCCCCCCGGGATGCGAGGGCTCTGCACCCCCCACACTGGCAACGTCCCATCCCGGGAAGGGGAGGGAAGACAACAGACAGACACTTATGGAGAATAAGCTGATTAAGCATCTGTCACCTCATCCGAAGCTGGCCAAACACTATAAAGCTCATTTTCTGCCTGAGGCATTTTTATCCCCCCTGTTCCTGCTGCCTGGCCTTGGGAAGAACCCGACAGTTTAATTTCCCTGGGAGGGTGGGGGGCTCAGCCCTCGCCTCCCCCATCTCCAACCAGCCATTTCTTCTCACATGGGTGAGCAGGAACCCGTGGATTCTTTTCTGTGGAGGCTGGAAACAGATGCAGCTGCAGTGCCAGCTGGAGCATCCCAGATCCTGCCTGACCTCAGGGAGCAGCTTTCCCTGTCCCGTGGCTCAAGGAGGAGACCAGTGGTGGGGGCACAACGTCAACGCAAGACAGTTATGGACATTCCCATTTGCTGCTGCCTCTAGGAAGGAATGAAATAACCCAGAGGCAGCGCTCCTTTCCGGCACTATCAGCAATCACGGCACAGGGGCCGATAAGGTAAAGGTGTTCCCAGGAACAGCCGTACCTTTGGCGAGCTCAGCCCCCACCTAAAATATTTTTCAGCCCCTGTTTACACACCCCGCAGGGAGGGGGTTGTGTCCCCGGCTCTTATCGGCTCCAGCAAACTGCAGCCAGAAATTTTATCTTAACTTTCTTCTGCAGGGAGCAGCTGCCACAATAAATATCAGCAAGATCAACAAAGCCAGAGGTCTGGGGAGCAGCTGCCCATCACGGCTCTGGTCCGAGCAGGAGCTGCCAGGGTTTTCTCCTTCAAACCCCCTCACACCCTGTGGGGAAGGTGTAGAAACTTGGATATATGTTAAACAAACCCCAAATACTCCAGCCATGCACCGAGTGCCTGCGGGGAGGACAGAAAGGACGTCTGCTGACACACCACCATCCTTCGGTGAGGAAGCAGGACCACCAGAAGACACCAAAGCCAATTTTTAAGTGGGAGCAAAGCCCTGGAAGTACAAGGCAGGGTTTGTGATCCCCAAGCTCCTGCCCTCGCACGGCAGAGCTGCCTCTGATAAGGGTTTCCTGACCTCTCACTGCCAGGACAGAGATGCTGCATCTTTCCCCCCACCCCAGAGAGCCAGAAGAGGCAGCCCCTGCAACCTCAGTCCCTGCATCCCTCGCACACACAGCTCTTCTGTTTTATTTATTAAACAGAAACAGATTGCTATAGGCAGCTTTAATCCGAGTGATAAAATCGGTTTCCATAGCCACTTACTGCTTCCCCATGAAAATTCAGAGGCAGGCAGGGAGCTGTGTGGGGCTGAGCTGCAGCCACCGGGGCGAGCGGTGCCCGAAACAGGGAAACTGGAGCCTGGCCCCTCCAAGGGGCTGCCCACCGACTGCCTCATCTGCCTTTAGAGTCATTTCAGCTCAGCCTCTTATCCATTAATTGACCTCCTCGGAGAGATGGCATTAATGAGGACGGTTTCCCTTCCTAGCACAGCAATCTGCTGAGCCAGACCCACAGGAGGGACCAGGAGGAGGAGGAGAAGTTCACCTGGGACTGCAAAGGCAAGGAGACCAAACCCCACCTCAGCCCCACCAGAGGCTGCAGCATCCCTGGGGGGAGCCAGGAGAGGAGCCACCTCTGATCCCTTCTGCACAGGGAAACAGCAGGGAGGGGGGAAAAGCTTGGGGGGAGAGCACAGGAGCCTCATCCAAGCGATGGGCAGACTGGAAAGACAGCTTCCAAATGATTTACCAGGGGAATAAATGTAGGAAAGGGAAAGGAGGCATTGAGCATCACTGCTGTGATCACAGCATCACGCCCACAGTGCTGAGACATGGCACAGGGCTTGGGGGGCAACCACAGCCTGCTCTGGGCAACTGCCATCGGGAGGAAACATGCTCCAGCACCACTGACCTGCTGGTCCCCAGCATCATCCCCTCATCCCTGCCTCATCCCCTTCACCAGAGGATGAGGGTGGGCAGCGCTGTCCCAGCTCCCAGAGCAGAACCTGCTGCTTTTGATTCCTGGCATTGCCAGGGAGCCAGTCCTGTGGCCACTGGCCACCAGCTCCTGCTGCCACCAGCATCAGCCCAGCAGCATCTCCTTTGCAAGCCAGCTCCTCCACCAGAGCTCCTCCTTTGCAAAGCGAGACGAAACCACCGCTCTCCACAAACGCTTCCTCTTCGCAAACACCACCAGCTGACAGTGCCCCAAAATCCGGACACTAAGAATAGCAGGCTTTTTTTTTTTAAGCTACATTAACAGTAAACACTTTTACCATTGGCATGAAGCAGGATCAGCTCCACATTAAGCTTATCCCCATCAACAGCAAAAAAAATCCGGTTTCATTCCTCTGCCTGGAGCCCGCTCTGGACTGTGACTCCATTTAGCAGTAAATTGGTGACTTACCCAATTCTTTCGATCCTTGGCTTTCGCTGGCCAACTCTCCCATCTTAACCAGAGCATCAAAGTATCCTTTTGCTGCGTATGTCATACCTATGAGCATAAAAAAAATGCAGGTTATATTCTGTTTAAAGGCTATAAAAACTTCTATGGCACTGGATAGATGCTAGACACTAAAATAGACAATACTTCAAAGGGCTTAACCCCACGGGGAGGGAATAGACAACAAACAGAAGGAAAAAAAAAAATGAGTGAAGAAAAAAAAAGCTCAAGCAGCAAGATTACAGGGCTATTTAGGAGGGAAAAAAAGGTACGTGTAGGACCTAGGTGGTTTTCATTCCAGTGTAACCATCAGCCTGCTTAATGCTGCTCAGACAAAAAAAAAATCACTGTGGAATAATTGAATATCACAGACTTTCATTATAGTTCAGTCTTGTTTGTTGACATTCCAGCTACACACTCCACTTTAATCAGATAAGCAGGGGGTTTCCTCTAATCACGAGAACATGTTGTACGGCTTCAGCTCAACACCGTCAAATTATGTGCTGAAGCCTCTTCCAGCATGATTTACTCATTAAGAGACTTCCTTCAGATGCCCTCGCAAGCTCCGAGATCCACAGTAAGGGATGACCAAAGACAATTTTCAAAAATTACAGGAAGATCTTGAGCTTCAAAGCGCATTCACAGCAGGGATGTGAGAAAAATAGAAATCAAGCCATCGTGCTGGTTTATCCACAAAACGCTGCCGTTACTGTGCCCGTGATAAAGCAGCACATCACAGACTCCACCACCCGGGTAATTAAAAGCTGCATTATCAGTGTAACATTTGAGAAGAACAAATAAAAAAAAGGACAGTCCCAAGGGCAACCTCTTCTCCCCCGTCAGACCCTGCCTTCTCCTTCCTCCCCTCCTGCAAGAGCCCACCCCAATCAGGAACCCTGCTTCGTTAGCATCATTAGCAATAGCTGGGAAATGCTGATGAGGGTGGATGAAGTGCCCCATCCCTGGGGGAGCAGAGTCCACAGCCCCTGGGCAGTGGACCGGGATGGACGGGCACGTCCCACGTTACAGCCAGTTGATCCATTAAAACCTGGTTAAAAACAGTGCCGAGAACTGGCCCGACAGGAGGGAGCAGGGGAGCGCAGGTCTGTGGCTCAAAAACCCTTCCCTGAAACATCCAGGAACCTCATTTGACTTGTGGGAAATAAAATTTGCCCCGGGCACAAAGCAAGAAGGCACAGATCCTTCCCAAAGGGTGAATTTCAAACACCGCCGTTTAAGAACAGGAGACACCAAAATACTTTTTTTTTTTCCTCCACTGGTTTAAGATGATGACAGCCTCTTCCCTTACACTTTCATGGAGCCAATTAAAAAAAAACACGAAAGCCAAGAGAGACGTGCAGCACGGCTGCGCAGCGAGCAGAGCCCTCCCTCTCCGGGGTGGAGGAGAGCCTGCCTTCAGCCTCCTCAAAACCCAGCCGAGGAGGGCCCAGGCACTTTGTGAAGTCATTTTAAGTCAAAATAGTCCATTTTTGGTTTTCATCAATTCATATTTTACTTTTGAGCATTTAAATCTACACCTCCCTGATGGCTCTCAATAAGACACTCTATTCCCAACCATAGAGTTGCCACCAATATTTTTAGGTTTCTTCCTTCTCTCCCAATCCATTCTTCTAGGCAATTTTAACATTTCGGTAACACACCTTTATATATAACTTAAAATCTTAATTCTGAATATTTTAAACTAACATTTAAAGATCAATTGACTGGGGAGATGTTGCCCAGTTGCCACCCAACACTTTCACACTGTGCATTTTTGCAAAGCTTTGCAATGAGGTCCAAGAACCATCTCCCCAGTTTCCTCCCCTCACTCTCCCAGGGAAAAGGAGCACCCCAAGCTGATTTTCCAGCTTCCCTCCCTTCCGAGGTCATCCTGTCCCATGGGACCCTCACCAGCCTGGCAGCCCCCAGCATCTCAATAATAAACACATCACTTTCACTTACTTGCTAAGGCTTTTTCATAGGTCTTCCCCATAGAAATGAAATTCCTGAGGCTGGGATTGAACTGCTCCATGATCGTCTAGAGGAAAGAGAAGAACATTGCCAAGGGTTAGAGCTGGTGGGGAACTGGACAGAGTAGCTCCGTGCTCCCCAGGGCAGCCACACTGAACTCCATGCTCATAAATGCAATAATGGAACAAAAATAAGTCCTCCCACACCTCTCACCACTCAACCCAGGCTTCCCCACGACTGCAAGAAGATGCTGGTTTAAGAAGTCTTAAGTATATCTGTGTCTTGCAAATAATACACAAAAGCATTGGTCCTACTGGCCTGGAAGGGGATGGGGTCAGTGCAGAAGAAGCCCAGCACTAAACCAAACATGATAAGAGCTGTTGAACACAGACAGGAATCAGCTGAATGCAACAACCTGTGCTGCCACATCACACCATGTCTCCTCCAGCCCTTCGCAAGAGCCTCGGAGGCACCTTCACCTCTCACCAAGGAGAACCACTCCAGAGGACCATCCAGCTCTGGTGAGGGACAATGGGGCTGCCCTGACACCAGAGGAGAGCAGAACCTGCACACAACAGAGAGGGGAGATGCCCCAGATCCTCCCTTCATCCCACCGCTACACCGAGGAAGACCAAACTTGGGTTTTGAAGGCCATGAGGCAGAGGTTCAATGACAAAGTGGCTCTGCAGTGCCTCAGCAAGAGACACTTTGTGCAGGTGCTTCACCATAAGGGATAAGGGAACGTCCCAAACCAGAAAGGTATCAGATATAGCAAACATAACCACCATAATAACCATAAGTGGCTGTTTGAAGAGGAAGACCAAACTTGGGTTTTGAAGGCCATGAGGCAGAGGTTCAATGACAAAGTGGCTCTGCAGTGCCTCAGCAAGAGACACTTTGTGCAGGTGCTTCACCATAAGGGATAAGGGAACGTCCCAAACCAGAAAGGTATCAGATATAGCAAACATAACCACCATAATAACCATAAGTGGCTGTTTGAACCAACAGGCAACGGTCCTCAGACCAACCATGGAGTTGACCTGAGCTCTGGGAGATGATGTCCCGCTCCTGGGATGACCTCAGAGAGCAGCATCAGCTTGATCCATGGACAACAATGGACAAGCAGAAATGGTCGAGGAGCAGAATTCAAAATAACCACCAGAGAGCCAGAGCCAGAACAAAGCCACCATTGCCCCCACCGAGCTGGCGCCAGCCACGGCTGAAGCTACGTGTGAGGAATTTACACCTCGGTCTCCAAGCCCTGGGTGTCACTTTCCACCTGCCCATGAAGGCATACATTAGGGTGTTGGTGAACACCAGAAGTGCTGTCTGACAGCTTTTCCTCCCTCGCTTTAAGGTCCTTATTTAAACATAGCAGTGGGGGGGGAGGAGGAAAGGAATAATCGGATCACAAAGAAGAAGGGCTCTTTGTACGTTTGGCACCGCACGCCCCCACCGAGCTGGTGCCAGCCGCGGCTGAAGCCACGTGTGAGGAATTTACACCTCGGTCTCCAAGCCCTGGGTGTCACTTTCCACCTGCCCATGAAGGCATACATTAGGGTGTTGGTGAACACCAGAAGTGCTGTCTGACAGCTTTTCCTCCCTCGCTTTAAGGTCCTTATTTAAACATAGCAGTGGGGGGGGAGGAGGAAAGGAATAATCGGATCACAAAGAAGAAGGGCTCTTTGTACGTTTGGCACCGCAGCTCCTGACCCTCCCCTGCCAGAGCTATTCAATCCCCAGCGCTGATAGCATCTCTAAAACCAGACACCCAGCCCAGCCCTGGAAGAGACAACAAAAATCTCCATTCTCTCCCTGAAAATCCCACCTCTGGACCAAGCCCGGCCACAGCTGAGCAGCCCCGGAGCTGGTCCCACCTCAGGGACAGCCCCCAACCAAGGGTACCACCAGGAAATTAAGTGTAATGCCTAAAATGTCCCCACACACCCCAAGAAGGGATGTGGGGGTGTCCCCCCGGGATGCGAGGGCTCTGCACCCCCCACACTGGCAACGTCCCATCCCGGGAAGGGGAGGGAAGACAACAGACAGACACTTATGGAGAATAAGCTGATTAAGCATCTGTCACCTCATCCGAAGCTGGCCAAACACTATAAAGCTCATTTTCTGCCTGAGGCATTTTTATCCCCCCTGTTCCTGCTGCCTGGCCTTGGGAAGAACCCGACAGTTTAATTTCCCTGGGAGGGTGGGGGGCTCAGCCCTCGCCTCCCCCATCTCCAACCAGCCATTTCTTCTCACATGGGTGAGCAGGAACCCGTGCGAGGTGCCAGCTCGGGGATGGTGTCCAGGGCACCATCCATCATCAAGCTGCTGGTATTTGCTGGCAGGAGAAATCCTGAGGTGCCAGCTCAGGGACAGTGTCCAGGGTGCCATCGGGGCCATCACTGAGCTGCTGGTATTTGCTGGCAGGAGAAATCCTCCTCATCCTCCATGGAGCAGGCGGCAGCAGCCCCGCTCCCGGCTGGAAGGTGGTGGGATGAGGCTGGAGCCCCAGCCCAAGCCACAGTGACCAAGAAGCCACCACCACCACCATCATCATCATCCTCGCCACCCCGTCCCACAGCACCCTACGCAGCCCTGCAAAGGGCAGGAGATGATTGCAGGGATCTGACAAGGCGAGCGCCAGGCTAACGAGAAACCCCACCGCTAATTAAGGCTGCGGGTTAAGCTCGGCAGCAACATGGCACACGTGGAAGCTGCTTTGGGGCAGCGCCGAGCAGTTCAGTGAACACGCTCAGCTTGAAAGGAGGAAAATGAACCTGTAGCAACAAGCCACGTCGTGAGTTGTTTTCCCTAATCGCAGGAGACAATTGCACAGGAGTTAATTAACACCGACGAGGATTGCTCCGTCCTTCCCACCATCACGTTTAGCTTGGGTCAAAAAAAATCCACAATCCGCCTGTGTTATCCCACCAAGGGGCTGGAGAGGCGGGATTGCTGCCCACGGAGGGGACAAGGACATGTCCCCGCTACCAGCAGAGCCCTGGCTGCAGCCACCACCAGGCTGGGGCTCAGCTTGAGCAGTCTGAGGAGGAATAACACTGAGGCAGAAGAAATATTGGCAGAATTTCTGTGGGGAAGTGATTTCTTTGTTTTTTTTAAACAGTTTGCTGGGTTAAGTGCAATAAGTGTTTATGTCTATGTCTGTATACATGCATACATAAATAAAGTGATTTTTGCAGCAGCGCCTGTGTAAACACACACCTCCCTGAAGCACGAAACTTCGCGAGTAAGTGATGGAACAGGATCCTCAGAGGAAGCATCACCCAAACATCATCCCGGTGGCACGGCAGAGCCAGGAGCACCGTGCCCAAAGGCTTTGTGCCACCGAGCTGCTCCCTCCATCCGTGGCTCTTGCAGGGATCAGAGTGAGGGAACAGATTCATTGGAAATCCCCTTCCCCAAAGTTCAGCGCGTCTTCCCCAAACTAGAGGGAACTAAATCATGACTCAGCCCCAGCAGCTGCCAGCGCCACTCAGAGCAGGGTCCTGCTCCCCCCTGACCGACAACTGCCATTTTAAAGCAATAAATAAAGAGAAAAAAGCTCCACTGAAAGGGTGACCAGCTGAAGAAGGGGGGAGGCAACTCGCTGCCGGCCAAATAAAATCCACAAAACTTTAAGAGGAAGTTTGCTGAAAGTGAGTGTTTTTAAGACATTGTCTGAAGCCTCCAACAACAACAGCCCGGCAGGATGAGGATGTTGAAAAGTGCTCTTCACTACAGAGATAAAAATAGAGGTTTTTCTAGCCTTCTTCTCACTCCCAGGGTGGGAAGGGAAGGTGCCTCCAGAACTAACACACCTTCGCAGCCCCCGCCAGGTGAGAAGCTGAAAAGCCACCAGCTGCTGAGGAGAAAAACAAACATATTTTTACCAGATATATCTGTGTCACGGAATATGCTCAACAAGCCATCACTTGCTGCACCCGAGTCAGCCAAAGGGCTCAAAGTGCAGGTCCCACCACGGGGAGGGCAGAGGTGGCCACGGGGCTAGGACAGGGCTCTCCTTGGCTGCCGAGGAGAGGGTGGGTTTGCCGGGCACCGAGGCAAAGCAAAATTCTGTTTAACAAAAGCAAATCTCATTTCTCCCTCAAATTTTGCTCCATCAGCACCACCCACAAGTTGTTTGCCTTCCACGCGCCGCCCGGGCAGAGTTTAGAAAAACACAGACCCCAGAAAAAAAAAAAAAAACCAACAAAACACAACACAAACCCAAAACCTGGCAGCGAGAGGTTGAAAGGGCTTTGCTTTGTTCCACGGCGCTCAATTCCCTGGGTAATACCACTCAGCTCCCCGGGATTGGCACGGCTTTATTCAGCTGCCAGAAATGAAACTAATGCAAAGCACGAGGTCTCCAGGACATAGTCCTGCTGAACCGTGTTTGGGGGGGAAAAAAAAGAGGCAACAGAAAATGAGGTCCTGGTTTCCCCCCCGCTCCATGAGGGATCCACCAGCTGCTATTACAAGGCAGCCCATGAAGTAAAAGTTTCAGTCCTTCCCCAAGAAGGAGCTGGAAATGGAGCTGGTTCAGGCTGTATCAGGTTTCTCCTCTGTAGGAAAGACCTGCCCGACACCTCCTTCGGGGCTCTTTAAAAAATTTAAAAACAGGCTGAGCAGTTCTCCCCAGTTCCATCCCCGCAGCCTCCCAAGGAGCTCCTAAAACTGCACACAGAGGGAAATAAAGAGCAGGTGCTGCTTTGCTCTGCTGGGGCAGGAGATGCCAGTGGCCATGGGCTGCTGGTCCCCCAGGCTCTGCACCAGCCACAATGTCATGGCCAGACCTCACCCTGCCATCAGCAACACACACGCTACCCTGATTATGGAGCTGTAATTACAGCTGACTTCATGTCCAGTCTCTCCTCCACACAGCCAAGGGCTGGAGACACCAGGATCACAGCAAGGAGGCTCCTGGATTCATCCTGGGATGAGCATCACCACGAACCCCACAGCATCTACCAAGCCCTGGGCTCCTCCTCAGCCATCCTCCCCCAGGGACAGCCCGGGCAGCGCTCGCTGGGGACACCAGGACACCTCAGCCAACACGAGTGATGGACTTTGAGCTAAAAAAACCCAACAAGTGTTTTCCTAGGACCACTCTTTGCTGCCCATACACAGCAGTAAAGCACGATGGCCCCGTGTGAGACCGATGCTGCGCAGTGGCATGGGTGACCCAGTGGCACCCACAGCTTTCTTGGGTGACTCATGGGTGACAGCAGGACCTTACGTGACCATGACGAGTGCCATCAGAGGGGGAAGCACCATGGGACTCTCCACCCCACTGCAGTCAAGCTGCAAAAGCGGCTCAGCTCTAAGGAAGTTGGGCTTCTAAATGGGTCAGCCCAGCTCCAGGAACGCCTTCATTATTTCTTGTGTTAATATTTAATGCCCAAACCAAGCCTGGTGCTGCCTCCATCTCAGCTTGTCCTGCTCTGTGCCTTCAGAAGACAGCCCCGTAGCTTTAGCAGCCAAGTTTCAGCTGGGAGGGGAACCCCGCCAGGCTCGTTAGCGGGGCTGATTGCAATTACTTACCACACACCCACCACCTGGAACAGCCCCATCCAGCCCAAGTCCCCAGTATCTCAGTGCACCGTAACACACAAGTGTTTCACAACCCGAGGTGCTGACGGCTGCATCCCGCCCTCATCCCACCTCACCAGGGCTCCCACAGCTCCCTCCAAGCAGCAGGAATGGCTGGGCCACTGTCCTCCAGCTGGGGCTCACACAGGGTCCTGCCCCAAAGCCAGACCAGGGCTCACCATAATCTTTAGCAGAGAAAGAAGCTGAGGAGCAAGGGAATCAGGGGGGGAAAAAACTCAGGGTCCCCATCTAAAGGCATTTAGCTTCTACTAAATTGCATCAGAGGATGAAGGAGCCCAAGTTTCAGCTCTCAACATCTTTGTAACCGGGGTCTGGGCTTGAAGAAAAGAGGAATGGGGACACACACGGTGCACAGAGCCCCCCCAGCATCCCTGGGGAACACCTCACCAGCCCCCACCCCACAAGGCAGACCCGTCCCCAGCCCCCCCGGGGTTGGGATCGATGTAGCCAGACCAGGAGGGTCACCCAGCCCCTTCCTGCAGACCCCGCTCCGAGGAGCTGGGCTCAGCCAAAGGCTTCAGCCGGATGAGCTTGGCACAGGAGGTGGGAGATGTGTGTGCCCCATGAGCAGCACGGTGGGAAACCACCAGGAGAGACTTAACACAACAAGGCACCGAAAGGGGATCCAGCAGCTTCCTCCAACCCAGGGAGCAGCATCCCCCATCAGCAGGGATGAGATGGTGTACCTTCGGCAAGGCAAGAGCATCCCACTTTATAACACTTCTTAGTCCCCAAGGTCCAGCAGCCTGGAGATGTACCATCTCAGCAGAGGTTGGAGACCCCTCTCTCCCCATCCACAGGAGCAGAGGAGCTGGAGCAGCCCCCAGCACCCCCCCAACACTGAGTCCCATGGCAGCATGGAGCCTCGCTTGGCTGTGGAGCCAAGACACCTACAAAGACGCAACCCCAGCAAAAATGTGGTGTCCCACAAAAACACCACAGCCCCAGAATCGGCTCACTGTGGGAGAACAAGCCCAGTTATTGCTGGAAAAAGAATTGCCACCACCAGACCTGCTCCCCAGTCTCACACCAGCACCCACTGCCCGTGGGAATACCGGTGCCACCAGCCACCCTGACATCCCGGTCCCACGCAGGGAGCAGGGTGCGTGGAACTCAGGGGTGGCACAGGCTGGCACCGGGGGCCAGCTCCTTCTCCCTCCATCACACCGCATCGTCCCTCCGCTGCCAAACACCCCGAGCCACCCACAATTTCCCTTCTGATTCACTTGAGCAAGACCCGGAGAGCAAGGCTCCCCTTCCCTCTGGACTCAGAGATAACGAGGCAAGAGGCTGTTCTGCCGGCAATAACATTGATTATGTGGAGCCAACGGCCACCAGGAATGATGCCTGCGTTTGTGCAAGACAATTAGGCTTGGAGTTTGGGGTGCTTTTAAGCAAACACCTCTTCAAACGCGGAGCTATTCATACACCATTGCAAAACAATCTTCCGCGCGAAGGAACGGCTTTCAAATGAAATGGAGGTTAGCCCATAACCGGTGATAATCTGTCATAAACGAGGCAGATTTGTCTTCCAGGGAAGGAGGAACTGCTGGTGCCTCCTTTTCTGCGGGAGGACGGTCCCCTGGCGAGGGATGAGCGGTGCCCGGGGAGCTCCAACCCCGCGCCCCACAGCTGCGAGGGGGTCCGGGGGGTGAATCAGCGCCGGGGAAGGTGGGATTACGTTGGCGGAAGGTGCCAGCAGCCTCCGTCTCCCTCTGTAATTACTACACATGTGTAGGCAGCTGCCTGTAGTGGCAGCATCGGCGAGGGGGCGGCTGACAGCTCCTCCACCATCTCATTAGCACAGTCACTCCGAGGGCGAGCACTGGTTCTGGAAAAATGATTACAATGGGCTTCCCGAGCAGAACGCCCCGGGAAAGCCTGCGCGGGAGACGGTGCCTGGCACAGGGAGCTGCCTCCTCCTGCTCCAGACCTCACAGGGAACCAGCTCAACCCCCTGGTTGACCCCAGCGTCGTCCCCCTTCCTGAGGGGTCTCTCCTCCTGACCACAGCAAGGTTCCGGCCACTGAACATGGGCCAAAAAACTTACTTGGTCAATGGGGACATGAAGCACCAGGGCTGGTTTTGAACTGGGAGACACCAAAGCTTAAGGAGCTCTGGAGTGTCCAAACAGTCCCTGAACCTCCAGCCCTCATGCTGGGCTCCAGGAGGCCACAGAAGCCCTCAAAGAAACAGGCAAGCACCGTGTTCCTGCACACACCCCGTGCCACACATCTCCAGAGGCTGAGAAAAGCACCATCTTCTTCAGAGGAGACAAGGTTCCTCGTTCACTGCAGGAAAGGCAGAGTCAGGACCCTGCTCCTCCAGCTCCCAGCGCAGGGACACTGATGTTGGGTAAAACCACAAGATCTGCCTCCAGCTCCGCGTCCTCCCTCCCTACACCCCGGCTGCTCCCACCAAGAAATTAAAGTGTTCCCTAACTGATGGAGACATTTGGACTCCTCTCAAGTCCATCTTTGGCCCTTGGGGCCCCTGTGCTCCCCCTCCACTCCAGCCAGGCTTCCATGGAGATGGTGCTGCCGCTCTCTCTGGGCCAAGGGTGCTCTGCTCCATCTCTAGACCCACGGCTCACACAGCACAGGAAGGATGAAGCCGATGGTCAGAGGCAAGAGAAGAGCCCAACCAGCACCCACCCTTCACCCCTTCTATCTCAGAGCACCAAGCTCCATTTAAGCGCAGGGGTTGCGATGGCAGAAGCCACCCCACATGCTCCTCACTGGGCTGCGCCCGGAGAAATTGTGACCTGCTCCCACAAACCTGTTATTAGCACAGTTCTTCGAGGACAACACACCTCAAACAACAACTGAGTCACCAGCTGAAACTGATCCCAGCAACTGTCCCCAGACCAACCCCACCGTCACTTGGTCCAGGGAAGCTCCGGCAGCTCCTGGGGCTGAGCCGTGATGGGGACCCAACTGCATCTGCCCTCCCAGTCCAAGAGGAACCCACACAACCATGAGTTGGGCACCTTGGCCACACTGAGAAGGTGGGAGGGATCCCAGACACCCAGGCCCCGGCCGTGGCAAACACCAAAGCCCAGCAGCTCCACTGGGAGACCCGCTCTAACATTCCAAGTAGCCAAGATTCCAGGTGCCATTAGCTCCATCCCAACATCTTCCGTGCCCCCAAACCCCAAAACCTTTGAACTTCACCGCTATTTTTTTGTACTACATTTTTCTATCAGAGCTTTTTTTTTTCTTCTGCTTACTGCTCCCAGGTAACTCAATCCAAGCCCTTAAATCGCAGGAAATCATGCAAGCTTTCCAGTTTAACAAATGACATCCTGCATTACATGTTAGGCTAGAAAGGTTTTCGTCGACTCGGGTCACAGAACCCAGCAGAGCACAAACCACTTCCTTCACGAGGAAAATTAAAGCACATAAATTATTTGATTTCTTTTTTTTCTCATGGCACCGGGAGCAAAGCAGAAAGAAAAAAACCCAACAAAACAACAAAAAAACAAACAAACCCGAGAAATTCACAAACTCCGGCCGTAACCAGGGCAGGGAAAAGGCTCCGGTGGTTGTTAATTGCTGCCGGGACGCGAGTGGCCGCAGCCCAGCCCCGGCCCGAGGTGATTTGGGGACAACCCGGGGGGGATCAGGCAAATTCCCACGCCGGCTCCTGCCCCCCCCCGAGGGATCAAACTCCCCCCCCAGCTCGGCACCCACGGGAGGTTTTGGGGTCCCCGGGGGTAGGAACTCCTCGCTCCGGGGCTCCGGCAGCCGCCCCGACCGGCTCCGGGCGCTCCGTGCCCCGACATCCCGAGCGCATCCCCGGGGATGGAGCGGGGGCGGCCGCCGCGCCTCCTCCCGCCGCCCCCGCGGAAGATGGAGGAGGAGGAGGAGAGGGGATTAAAATAAAAGAGGAAAAAAAAAAAAAAAACCACCAAAAAATCCCCAAAACGGCAACGGTGCCCCCCGGGGCCGGCACCTGTTGCCGGTCTGACCTTGTAGACATTCTCGGTGAGGCGGTGCACCTCCTCGGAGCGGGACATGGCGGGCGGGCCGGGCAGCACCATGGGCGGGCGGCGGCGGGGACGGCGCGGAGCCGGGCGGCGGGCGCGGAAAGCAGCGCGGAGCGGCGGCACCGACGCCTTTTATCAGCTGCCGGG